GTGCCAAGCGCAGCCTCCACGATCGGCCACGTCCTGCTCGTCGAACTGGCGGCGCCCGTGGACTCAGCCTGGACAGCCATGCCCCTCTGCTTGATCTCCCGGTGCTTGCCGCCGACCTCGAGGTGCCTCTCCATCGTCCGACGTAAAGGCTCCAGCACCTGCCGGATGATCACCACTCTGTCAAGCGGCGACGTGTCCATCCAATCTCCAGCGGTGCTACGATGGTACTCATTCTCCAGCCGCTTTGCATTGAAATCTCCATGGCCCTGCCCATCGCCGCCGCTGGCAGCCGCAGCCTCTGCGGCGCCGCCCTCGCCGCCATCGGCGGCACCAGGCCCAGCGGCAGCAGCTGGCAGAGCCCCGCCATCGCCCAGCCGAGGTCTCTTCTTGGAGCCCCGAGCCATCTCTTTCGCCCAGATAGCCCAGACAGCAGAGCCAAAGCCGTGAATGCCATCAAGTAGGATGAACTCGTCCATGGCAACGTCGGACCCCGTCCACCTGCTGCTCGGCCACCGGGTGAATCGAGCTCCCAAGAGGACGACCTCCAAGGCCTCCGACACCGACTTCTTGATCTCGCTCTCGTCTATGTCGATGCCCTCGGGAATCCATATGTCGACGTGCTCTCGGTCCCTCCAGTCCCCGTTCGGCAAATGGTGCAAAGCTGTCTTCTTCTCGATCAGTCGACTCCCCCTTGCGAGCGAAAGGCACAGCAAGTGCCGCTTGCACGGGGTGGCCTGTGGAGGGCCCCCCCCCCCTGCGGATGCGAATCCGCTGTTGAACCACAGCGCGGAATATCCGACAGAAAGAAGAGAAGCCAGAGCCTTCGTTGACGGCAAGTGCGAAATTGATTTGACCAGACACGTCGGAGCCCGTCAGGTCGAAGGTGTGCGTGAGTGCGTTCGCAGGGCAATGTATGGAGCATGTGAAGCCAATCTTGCCCCAGCCGTCGCCTCGTCGGTCAACCCCGCCCTGCGCCTCGCAGCGGGCGTTCGGGCCAGCGCCGTCCAGGACTGATGCGCGCGTCTTGCACGCAAAGTCCTTAGCAGCCCGTCCAACAGCAGTGGTGCGACGTTGGTCCGCCTCTCGAAGACACTCCCCAGTGTTCCGATCCAGCCACTGGAGCGGAGCAATGGGCGCGCCGACGATGCCGACGTACTCGCCCGCGATGGTCCTCAGAAGGTACCCGAACCTCGACGAGCTCTGCAGCAGCTTGATGACAGTTCTCTCTAACTTCGGCTTCCCCCACTGTCGAGATCGATCCATGTGGCACACGGCCGCCTGCTGCTGATCGGAAGGGCCCACTGCACGACCACGCGCTTGGAAAGAATCGTTCACTGAAAGCTTCATCGGGGTCTCGTCGTACTTGGCCGCCTCGACGTAGTGGAGTAAGTTCTCCTTGGGGACCGTATTTGCCAAATAGCTATCCAGCGCAAGCTTCTGGTCCCGCTCGAAATGTACGGTGGTGTTGGCTAGGGCGATCACGTACTCGGTGTAGCTCCCAGGGGCCACGCCGACTGAATCCTGGATCGATGCCTTTGACGTAGTTCCGCCAGCCAGCTCGGACGACGAATCCATCAACATGCGGTTGAGCTTCGCTGGCACGCCTTGGTCTGATATTCTCTGGCGCTCGATCGGGAGCGCTGCTATGCGAACGCACGGGAGCAGCGGCCACTGATATGTCGAGCCTCTGCCCGTGCATTGGACTATGTGTCTGGGCACGGTGGGCAGCTTCACCGTGGACTCCGACAGGGGCAGCGCCAGGGCGTTGGCGCGGCCCGCGACCGACCTCGCGGCTGCCCGACTGGGCCTGCGGGGCGGGGGGCGCGGCCCTCTGGCCGCGGCGCCCGCGGGGCCGCGGGGCGGCGGGCGAGGCTCACCCGCAACCTCGGCGAGCACATCGCCCCAGCCGTCCGCCATCGCGGTCTTGCCGCAAAAAAAAAACACAAAGTGCCAGAGCCTTGCCGAGAGCACATGTACGATCCAAACCGGCAGCGCGTGGTGATGTGATGATGGCGGCGATGCTGCTGCCGTTGGCGACGGGGGGGGGCGTCCTGAATCCCTTGGGAAGGGGGGGGGGGCAAGGGGCGCTTGCACCCGCTCATCACAGCCCTTCCTTTCTGCCATGCGTCATGTGCCCCCCCCCGCCCACCCCCGCCCAGCCCCCGACCTTATTCTGTCTCCCCCCTCGCTCATTACCCAAACCCCTTATTCAAAACAGAGCAAGGCGGACGTCGAGTCGGTGCGTGTCCTGCCCAAAGGGCACGGGGGGGGGGGCCTGAAAGGGCCTAGGTTGAACCATACGGAACCTCGCGTCGCACCTGTGGGGAAAGGGGCTGAACCCCGCCAAATTACACATCACACTCAGCGCGCGCTGAGGTTATTGGGGGACGCTGCGCTGCGGACCCGAGGTAGACCCAGCAAAACGTTAGAACTATTATGTTTTCCGCATTATCGAATTGATACGAGCGAGCATTGTTTTTGATATGTTTAAAAACTGTTTTGGGGCTGCGTCGGAAACGTAGGAAACAACTGTTTTGAGACTCCCTGGGAGATGTTGTGGGGAGTTATCATTTTCCCAGCTGGAGGAGGCCACGCGTATCATAAGCTTCGTGGCCCCATTGGGAGCCCCACCGAAACCCCCAGTGGGACCGTCCGCATGCGTCCTCCACACCCGATTTGGCATTACAACCCACCCAGTACAGCGTTCCGTGGCCCCACAGGGAACTCCACCGAAGCCCCCCGTGGGACCGCCCGCATGCAGTCCCCACACCAAATTTGGCATTTCCACCCACCCAGTACAGCGTTTCGTGGCCCCATACGAAGCCCCACCGAAGCCCCCAGTGAGGCCGCCCGCATGCGTCCCCCACACCCAATTTAGCATCCCCACGCACCCTTTACAACGCTTCGCGGCCCCATGGGGGGCTCCACCGAAGCCCCCAATGGGACCGCCCGCGTGCGTCCCACACGCCTATTTTGGTATTTAAACTCACCCAGTGCAGCGCTTCGTGGCCTCATAGGGAGCTTCGCCGACGGCCCCAGTGCTACGGCCCCGGCGGCCTTCTTGGATAGGATGTTAAGGAGTTGCACGATCAGATCCCGGAGTTCAGCAGGAACCTCGGCCTCCTCGGCGCGATCGTGGACCGCAGCATGCGAGCGCCGGCAGGGTTCCGTTGAAGAACCGACCAGAAGGATCCGCCAAACTATAGTGCTGACGTTGCTGCCATCATGGGCAGGAGCCAGATCGCGGCGCAAGAGGCGGGCGCTCTCAGAGGCAGTCTCAATTTTGCCCGCTCTCAGAAGTTTGGCCGCTGCGGCGTTTCGGCCGTGCGTTTCCCAGCTTCGGCCTCCAGGGCGGGGGGTGCAAACTGAGCGTGGAGAATTCGGGGTACTTACACTTCTGCGCGGCGTTCACCTGGGACGCGCGCCCTCGCGTTGTCGCGTGGGGAGACGCCCGGCCCGTCGTCGCAGCGCACTGCGTGCGCCGACGGCCTTGGGGAAGGCGACGTCGTCGGAGTCGGAGGCGCGTCGGCGCTGGACCAGGTCAAGGAGGGTTTCGCCGGGAAGGTCAAGGCGCGGCCGGCGAAGGAGCGGCGCCGTCGAGGCGGCAAGTCGAAGGTGATCCGCCAAGCCGAGATCTTTCCGGCTGTTTCGGCGATGACGATCTGGGGCGCGAGCGGCTCCAATGTCTGAGGTTGTTCCTCTTCGTCGACAACGATCCGGCCACGGCTGCCTCGTACTCCGCGCCGTTTCGAATCCAGCAGACGCGCCGTCTCGCGGCCTGCCTGTCCCGGGCGCAGTGCCACGGAAGACGGGGCGTTCGGACGTGCAAGAAGAAATGGGGTGGAACAAGGCACGCTGTGTTGCTGATCGCTGTGCGAAATTTTAGTGATATGACCCGCGCCAGAAATATGAGAGCGCATGCTTGCGCATGCGTGTCGGAATTCAATGTTCGCCGGCATGCGAAGGTGGCATAACCGTGCTAGGTGAAACCTGGAAGGGTGGAACAAGGCACGCTGTATTGCTGATCGATGTGCGAAGTTTCAGTGATATGACGCACGCCAGAAAAATGAGACCGCATGCTGGCACACGCGCGTCGAAATGCCCTTGCAGCCGGCGTACGAAGGTGGCATCTATCGCTACTTTGTCGGCGTTGCCTTCTTGCCCTTCCGCTCGCATGCCAAACTTCAAATACCAAGTTGCACGGCGCGAGAAGCCAGTGCATATTTGTACCCGCACACCCATAATATAGCTATATGTACCTTTGCATAGTTGGAAATACACACATATATATACATATATGCACACATACGTAAGCATATACGTATACCTATGCACACATATACATACGTATGTGCAAATATACACACTTCCATGTGCTGACTACATGTGCATGGATGTGTCGATGTGCGCATGCACACATCGCTCCTCCTATCGTGTTACCGCTGTCCCTCTCTCTCTCTCTCTATATATATGTACATATGGGTATATGATGACAGCCTTTTCGATGTGTACACACGTATACACATACGCATGTACCTGTTGTCATACATATACATATTGTTGCACATACACATACACACGTACATGCATACGTACATACATACAGACAGGCAAACATACAAGTGTAAAGCTGCCTGTCTCTGTTCCTGGCCTTCTCTCCCTCTCTCTCTCCCCCTCCCTCCCCGTCCCTCCATGGGGGGCGCCTGGGAGCGCGTAACATCCCGTTCCCCCCCCCATTCACCGTTTTCCTCGCTTCCTCCCTTTCCGCTCCTCCCGCCATCCTCGGTTCCCCCCTCACCTTTCCCTCCCTCCCTCCCCTCTCCTTCCCATCCTCCCCGCTCAGCTCCAGCTCCAGTTCCGAATCCCCCCTCTGCCCTCCCCTCAATGGCGTTCCTTTCCTCCTTCCCCCTCTCCTTCATCCAGCCCGTATCCCCTCCCTCCCTCCCTGTCCCCCCGCTCATTACCTCCACCTCCCTCCCCGCCATCCTTCCCAACGGCAGGCCCCGCCGCCCGCGGGCGCCGTCCCGCGCGCGCAGCCGCCGCCGAGGGGCCAAGGCGGGCGGGGGGCGCGGGCGGCCGGCGGCGGGCTGGCCCGGGCGGCGCCGGGGGGTTGCCGCGGAGGCGAGGCGCTCGCGAAGCGATGCAGAATCTGGAGGTTGCGATAGGGGCGAGTAGCCCATGGGGCGGGCATCACGTGCATCCGCCTGGGGCCCTCGCCGAACGACGCAGGGACCATTTGCGCCTCTGGATGCATGTGCTGCTCTCGCCTGGGCGCTTCGCCCCCGCAGTCGCCCCCGAAGGCAGGGGCCCTGTCTTCGAGGAGCCGTGGGAGTTGATGTATCTCTGTCTCTGCGGAGGCCAGCGGGGATAGAGCGAAGGCGCCTCCGCGCGGGCGGAAGGGGGCCAGGGGAGGCGGGCGGCCGGCAGGGGGCTGGCCCGAGCGGCGCCAGAAGGACCCCACGGGGACGAGGCGCCCAGCGATCCAGCGAGGGCACCGCCTGCCAGTGCACCCAGGCCTGAGATCCCGATGTCTCAATCGTTTCGAGCGGGGCATTTTCGCCTAGATTCGGGCCCCAGGGTCCTCCCAGATCGATCGGGCTCGAAAAATGGCGCTCAACGATGGCGTCTAGGGATCCAGTCGTGATTTGTCACGATGCCCCAATTGTTCGAAACGTCTGATCTTAGGGAATAGAGGAGGGAAAGGCGAAGACGGGAGGAGGAAAGCACGGAACATGATGGGGAGTACGGTTAGGAGAAGGGGGAGGAGGGACGAGAGGGAGGAGGACGAGGAGGACGAGGAGGAGTGATAAGTGAGCTTTGGAGGAAGAGGGATTAGGACTAAGCTCCTCCCTATCGCTCCTCACTCCTCAATCCTCCTCCTCCTTCGTGTTCCTCTGCCTCCGTTTCCCACCTGTCATCCTGCTTCTGCTGCTTTTCCTGCTTATTCCTCCTCCTCCTCCTCCTCCTCCTCCTCCTCCTCCTCCTCCTCCTCCCCCTCCTCCTCCTCCTCCCCCTCCTCCTCCCCCTCCTCCCCCTCCTCCTTCTCCTTCCCCCCCCCCCCTCCTGGCCGTGCTCCCCGTCGTGATGCGCCCGTTCCTCCTCCTTGTTCCTCGCCTTCCTCGTCCCTCGGGCTCCCTCATCCCGCCTTCCTCCTCCTCCCCCCCTCCTCTCCCTGCTGCCCCCCTGCAGCAGGGCAGGGAGGAGGAGAAAAACACATCAGCCTGCTTCCTCTACACCAAAATGCCCGGGCAATAATTGCCATGGGTGACCCTTGGTGTCATTTTGTCTGTGCTCGCGCGCTCTTTACACTCGGCTTTAGGTGTGTGGCAGCACTCGCGTTTTGAAGCTTGCTTTTGTGGCTTGCGGTCTGGTCCATTTTCTCTCCCCCCCCCCAACAAAAAAAGAAGGAAAGCAGGGCAGGGAGGAGGAGGACCATCACAGGCTATGAGGGAAGGCTAAGCTTAGGCCGACCCGACCCTCAATCAAAACCTTGTGGTTACATCCGATCTCCACTTACGCTCTCTTCGGCCTGCTTCTCGGCTCCCTCTCTGCGGAGCTGGGCGGCAGGGACTGGCTGGGAAGGTCGAGGGGGGGCGGCCTTTAATCTGGCCTTGGGGCGACCTTCGCCCGAAAGGAGCGCCCATACATTATGGGAGCGTTTACTCTGGAAGTTTTCCTTACATTTACCTCGGAGCCCTTTCAAATTGCTCAGTATAGTGGCGGCACCTCTTGCACACTGCGATGAAGGACTCGACATCGAGGTACTTGCACACGAATGGGGCATGCTTCCTGGGCGCTCTGATTAACGACGGACGGGCAACATTATTTCTTGGGCATGCGTTTAGCATTTGAGACGTGCGGGTGTTATTTCTCACTCGAGTGCGGCCGGCAAGGCGTAACCAATGCATGTATTCGGAGGGGGGAACAAAAACATTAACATAAACATAAGCTTTTGGTCCGCGCGGATTTCTTGGATTCGCGCTGGGCCCCCTGCTTGGCGCGCGCCGCACGCCAGAGGCGGCGCCGGAGGCGCCGCCGGGGGGCCCAGGCTCGGGGGTGGACAGACCTCCTACCCTGACACGTCGATTAGTGAATTGTCCGTTTTCGGTTCGCGAGAGGGCGCCGCGGCCGTTATTTTCCAGGCTTGCGCCCGCCAGGTTTGGGCCCGAGGTCGTTTTCACTAAACCACGTTTTACTACAGGGAGGTCTGTCCATCCCCGACAGGCGGAGCGCCAAAAGTTTTTGTTTGTGTGATTTTGTTTTTTTCTCTATTCTCGTAGATAGGCATTTTCGCCCGCACGTGGGGCCATGGGGGACCAAGCTGTGAGCGCCTCTGCAGCAAGTCTGACCTGTCGTTCGACTCGGCCGCCGTCTTCCCTGTTCAACTCTGTCTTTTGTGAGGTCGGGCCAGTCCCCCTACAGGGGGATTTTCGACGAAAAATAAAAGAAATACCCCCCAAAAAGGCAAACAATAGTCCAAACATATTTTGGGATTTATTCTTTGAGTATTTTTGTTGTTTTTCTGCGTATTTTGTGGGTATTTTTAATTTTTCGTCGAAAATCCTCCTGTAGGGGGACACGCCCGACAGAAGTCTTTTGCAGGGACGGGCCTGGGTACTGGGCCGCTGCCTGTTGGGCAGCCTTGTCGACCCAGCCGTCACCTGCAGCAAAAAGCCAGTCCCTCGAGCCAGCTTCTGGGACCACAGAGCCCTGGTGTTAAATCGGGCCTGTCCCTCTACAGGAGGAGTATTAAGAAATAGTCTAAAGATAGTCTGGGGACCATTTGTGAAGTATTTTTGATTATTTGTTTGGTATTGTTTGGGGTATTTGTTATTCTTCGTCCAAAATCCGCCTGTAGGGGGGGGAGATGCCCGACCTAACCCTGGTGGGCCTTCGCCCTTTGGATCTCGATGGGCCGAAGACTGTCCTGGCCCCTGGCCAACACAGAAATACTAGAGTGCATCCCTTTCCTATCAACTTCGGGGCTACCCTGACACGTCGATTAGCAAATTGGCCGTTTTCGGTTCGCGAGAGGGCGTCGCGGTCGTCATTTTTTTCGGGTCCAGGTCCGTCGGTTTCGGTCGTAGGCCGTTTCCACTAGAGGGAGGTTTACTAAAGGGATGTTTCTCCACCTCCGAAGCGGGAAGGTGGCGCAGCACACCAGCGATTTTGTTGGAGCACGATGCCCGCCAGGGGGTCTCGCTGATGTCCGCGACTGGGGGGGGCAGGGCACGGTACTCACGGCGGTGGCGATAGGGATGATGCCAGCGAGGAAGTGGTACGGGAATGGAGGCCATTTATGAGGAGGAGGCATGGAACGGGGAAATACATTGCAGCGTCTTTGACACATCTCGGGTGCAGCGTCCTTACACCGTCGTGTCCTCCGGCCCTCTTTTTCTTCCTCCCCTTTTCCCTTCACATCCCCATCTTCCTCATCTATCCGAGTGGCGACGAGAGAGAGGAGAAGGATCGCGGGCGCCGCCAGTGCCGAAAGCGCCGTCCAAAGCTGGCAGCACCTTCAAGGCGGCGGTCGACGCGGCGGGGCTGAGCGCGAAGGCGTCCTTCGGAGGAAAGGGGGAGGAGGAGGAGGAGGAGGAGGAGGAGGAGGAGGAGGAGGAGGAGGAGGAGGAGGAGGAGGAGGAGGAGGAGGAGGAGGAGGAGGATCATGAGGAGCAGGAGGAGCAGGAGGAGCATGAGGGAGGAGGGAGGAGGGAAGAGGGAGGAAGGAAGAGAGAGGAGGTTGGTTGGTTGGTTGGTGTCCCCCCGGCGGGGGGGCATTCGGAACCCCCGGGCGTGGGGTCCTTTTAGCAGGGGGCCGCGAGAGCCCAGGAGGGCAAACGCAAGCGGCCCTGCAACGACCCGGCGGAGGCCCTCTGCTGCGACCATCGTCCTGAACCAGCCCAGCACACCCCACCCCAGCCCGGCCCAGTCCGGTCGACGACGACGACGACGACGACGACGACGACGACGACGACGACGACCACGACGACGACGAAGACGACGACGACGACGACTGGGACCGAGAGGGAGGGAGGGAGGGAGGGAGGACCGTGCGGAAGCGGCTAGATGGGCGACCTGCCTGACCGCCTGGAGGGGGGGAGTACCAAGCGGGGCCGCCGGTCCGTGGAACGGATGCCCAAGCGCTTGGGGCTCTGCCCGACTCCCCAGCCGCTGCACTAGTCAGCGCACGGCGAGGGGACGCAAGTACGAGACTCCGGCAATGGAGGGGAGGAGGGAGCCGCCCCAGGAGAAGAGGCGACCCAACCTGAGCCCACGCCCAAGCCCGGCCCAACCCACGCATCGCAGCACAATTGCTGGAGGCAGGGAGTGCGGAAGGGGGGACTCGAGGGGGGGGGCAGGGGCGGGGGAGGGAGGGGGATGGAGACCGCCAGCCCAGGCCCATCCCGCCACACCCCAGCACCGCCAGAGGAGAGCGGAGAGGGAGGGAGGGAGGGAGGGAAGACGGGAGGGGGGGAAGGAGGGGGACCCCGGCCCAGAAGGGCCCACCCCGCCAGAGAAGAGGCCCACGGGGCGCCCGAAAAAACAGGCCCGGAAGGGCCCCAGAAGACCCCCCCAAACGCCCGAAAATGGTACACTGACCCCCCCCCCTCAGAGTACCAAGGGGGCCCCGGTACACCGAGGGGGGGGGGTCGATGTCCCATTTTGGTCGTTTGTGGGGGGTCCAAGCCCCCCTCGCGGAGGGCCCGGCCCCCCCCGCCGACCGCGCCAGAACCACCTCGGAACCGCCCCGCAGGAGCCCCGCGACCAGGCGTCCTAAGTGTACCGATCCGGCCCGGAATCGGTACACTTAAGACGCTTGGTCGCCGACCGCCCTGGCGCGGGTCCGCGGGCCCCCGGCAGCCGTCCACCGCAGGAAGAGGCAACGCCTCGGCGACGACGACGACGACGACGGCGACGACGGCGACGACGAAGACGACGACGACGACGACGTCCACGACGACGACGACCACGACGACGACGACGACGACGACGACGACGACGACGACGACGACGACGACGACGACGACGGCGACGACGACGACGACGACGACGACGACGACCACGACGACGACGACCACGACCACGACCACGACGACGACGACGACGACGACGACGACGACGACGACGACGACGACGACGACGGGACGACGGCGACAACGGCGGCGACAGCGGCGACGACGCCTCGGCGGCAGCGAGCACGTGGCCTCGGCCCGGCCCGTCCCAGCCGGTCCCACCCCGGTCCAAGGCAGACCAAGAGGGAGGGAGGGAAGGGGGGGAGGGGACAATGAGGTGGACATTTTCCACGTGCTTAGCTCAAGACATGACTCTGGTCAGCTCTGCTGGACCTCGCGACCGATACGGAGTCCGGTATATAATCAGGCTGCAACAGCAAGCGGTACGAGCGACAACGTTCGGTATTGCTCAAAATCCGGGGGAAAAGGCGGGATGTTTCAGGGCATGCTGTGACCTAGATCTGCTCGAAGGCGTGGGAGGCCTGCTCACGCAGGCGTCCAGGATGGCGGCGGGAGCGGCGGAAGCGGCTCGGGGGTCGGGGCCGCCGGGGGTATCCCGCCCTCCCACGGCGCTGTCCACGCCATGAGCTTGAGGAGCGCCCGCTCCCGCGCCTGCGGGCTGGCCGCGATGTGAAGCTTGCCGTTCTTGCGCAGCCACACGTGGACGGTCCCCTGCCTGGGGCCCAGCTGGAAGAGCAGCCCATTGGGCACACCGCCTCCCTTGGGGATGTGGGTCCACGTACCGTTGCCGAGGAGCGGGTCCGCCGCTGGGAACGTGGTGGCCCAGAAGATCAGGATGCGATCGCTAGGCATCGATCCGTCCGGGAGGAGCTGCACCCAGCGATCGAACCTCCTCGCGTCCGGCTGCCCCGCAGCGGGGGCAGGGCCGCCTGGCCCCCCCGGGCCGCCTGGCCCCCCCTTGGCGGCTGAACTCGACGAACAGCGGGTCGACTACCGGAGCACCGAGGACGGGGACGAGGCAGCGCTGCGGGCCCGCCTGGAGGGCCCCCTCACGCGGGGCCTCGCCCCCAGGGCTCTGGAGCGGGAACTGCGTGCGGAAGGGAACGGCGCAAGGCGCTGATGAGCCGACTCCTGGGATCGTCGCGGAGCTGTTGGTGGTGGACGCCGCCGCAAGCTCGCGCCAGATCTTCCACGGCGCCACCTCTGCCAAGGGGCCCTCGTCAGTGCGGAGGGCGGGGGGAGAGTGCTGGTGTAGCACCAGCAGACTGCTGGGCGCTCCACTCTGTCCAGCAGTTGTGGCAGTATGCGCTGTCCGAATGCTCCCGCTCGCCCTGCACGAGGGGGCCGTCTGACGCCCCACACCCGGCGCACCTGGGGCGGAGGGCCTCCAGCGAGACTGCCTGCGGCGACTGTGAGGATGACGGCACCTGCCCCTGCACCTGCCCCCCGCTCGGCGCAGCGGCCGCGCCTCCCTCTCCTGCATGCTGCTGCTGCGTGGGCAGCGGCACCTGCTGCTGCGGCGGCGTTGCGCTCTGCACGGCCGCCGCGCCTTCCCCTTGCGCAGGCGGCGGCGTCGGCCAGAGGGTTGTCTGGCCCGAGGGCGGGCCGCCAGAGGCCGCTACAAGGATCCACATCTCCTGCTCCGAAGGCGGGAGCAAACCCCACTGACGCTTCACCGAGTGAGTGTACAACGTCTTGGCGGTCGGCTCCGCTGGAGGCGGAGTGATTTTCTCTGTTGCTGTCGTGGCGGCACGGAGGGCGAGCCGGAGTGAGCTGCGCCACGCCATCCAGTAGTCAAGGACTGTTTGTGTAGGCGCGTCGGCCAGGCGCGCCTGCTTCGCGGCGGGGGCCCCCTCGATCTCTATGACTTGCGGCGGAGTTTGTCCTTCGCCCTTCGCTGCAACACTGGGGGGCGCGGTGGACCTGGAACGGCTTCGGACAACACAGGAGAGAGAGGGAGAGAAGAGGGGGGGGAGGGGCATGCATTCGGATCCTGAGGGCAGCCGCCAGACCCTGGTTCCACTGCGGGCCCCGATGCAGGGGGCGCCGGGGGCTCGCGAGGAACTGGGAAAAGGCATGCCTACAGGTCTGTGTGCAGCGGCCTCCCGGGGAAGGCCCAGCCCGGCCCGGCCCAGCCCCACGACCACGCGCCCTGACCCACTCGGCTCAGGTCCCGGAGGAGGGCCAGAGAGGACAACGGCGGCCGCCAGCGGCCCCAGGGCCCCATCCAGGGGCCAGGAGCAGCCAGTTCGAGCAGCGCCAGGCCATGGCGACAAGGGGCCCAAGAGGGGCCAAAGCGATCACCAGGCCTCGCCTGACCCCCATCGGGAAGGGCCGCGAGGGGAAGGGAGGGCGGGGGAGGGGGGGAGGGAGGGAGGACAGGGGAGGCAGGAGAAGAGGGGATGCAGGAGAAACCAACCCAGCCCGACCCAGCAGTCCCACCCCACAGCGGCCCAGCATGGACCTGGAGGGGCGGAGGAGGGAGGAAGGAGGGGGGAGGAAGGAGGGGGGAGGAGGAGGAGGAGGAGGGCGGAGGAGGGCGGAGGAATGGAAGAGGAGGAGGAGGAGGAATGGAAGAGGAGGAGGGAGGAGGAGGAGGAGGAATGGAGGAGGAGGAGGAGGACGACGACGACGACGAGGAGAAGGTGAAGGACGACGAGGAAGACGACGAGGAGGAGAGGAGGAGGCGGACCGTCGCATCTGACTGAAGGTGGGGGGGAGGGGGGGGGAGGGGGAGAGAGTAGGGGGGGAAGAAGGGGAGGAACTGTGCTGCTGCTGCTGCTGCTGCTGCTGCTGCTGCTGCTGCTGCTGCTTCTCCTGTCGTTGTGAGAAGCAGCAGCAGTTGCAGGTGCAAGAGGAGGAGGGGGAGGAGGAAAAGGAGGAAAAGGAGGAGGAGGAGCTTGAGTAGGGACGAGCATGACCGGCAGAGCCATTGGCTTGATTCCCTTTGGCTTCCCGGCCCGACATGCCTTCGGGCGCCGCAGACATGGTTCCCACATGTCTCTCGAATGGGAGAACGAGTGAACGGAGCCAGCTACGCAGGCCCTGGTGGAGAGTGTCCCCGAAGGGCTTCGGCGACCTGCCTCCTCCTCCTCCTCCTCCTCCTCCTCCTCCTCCTCCTCCTCCTCCTCCTCCTCCTCCTCCCTCCTCCCTCCTCCCTCCTCCCTCCTCCCTCCTCCCTCCTCCCTCCTCCCCTCTCCCTCCTCCTCCTCCCCCCTCCCTCCTCCCTCTCCTCCTCCTCCTCCTCCTCCTCCTCCTCCTCCTCCTCCCTCCTCCTCTCCTCCTCCTCCATCTTCTCCTCCCCCTCCCCCTCCTCCACCTCCTCCTCCTCCTCCTCCTCCTCCTCGGGTCGCCTACGGCCCCGGGGGAAACCGTGCAGGCCCTGGATGGGGGTACATCGCCCTTGTTCTTTCGGACCGTTCTATGAGCGCTACAGAGGAGCGCTGTGGAACGGCGGCTCAGAGATCCAGGGCTTGCCCTCATCCGAGTGCTTGTTCATCCTGGCCTCGTCTCGCAACGGAGGTCGTGCTTCGGGAGAGTTTCGAACGGGGGGCCACTTCGAGGGGGGGTGGGGATGGCTCGAGCCGCGATCCTGCGCTTCGCCGCGGGGCTTGCTGAAAGCGCCTTAGGCAAAGTACGACCTCGCTGTCCCAGGGCCCCACCAGAGACGCCCAGCCCAAAGGGGCCCACCATGCCGTCCCCAAGGAATGCCATGCCAGCAAGACTGCGCAGATGTCACGAGACGGAGCCATCGCAGGAAGGCATCGCTTCACCCCCCACAGTGCCCTGGTCAGCCCCACGGGGTGCGAAGGCGACCGCGCTTCGCGCGCCGCGGCTGGGGTTGGAGAGGCGCCCTCCTCCAAGGGCGGCCTGCAGGGGCGCGGGGCAGAATGGCGGGGGGCACGGGAGCACGCTGCGCGGCGTCAGGCGGCCTGGAATGCGGCGCAGCACCGCTGCTCAGCCCCATGCCCTCCTGGGCCCGTCTGCTCGTGCTTGTGCTCTTCGCCTCCCTCCTTCACTGCGCGGCCGCCGCGCTGCTGCCGAGGGTGCCTCGCGCTGCCCCGCTTGCGCCCCGGACGCAACGACACGGTGGCCAACGCCCGATGTGCGTATAACGCAGTCTGTCTCGGGTCGCTTTCCCACGCCACGCGCCCGCTCGATGTTCGCGAGCTTGGCCTGGGCTTCGTCCCTCGTCCAACTCCAGTCTCTGCTGCTGCTGCTCGGTCCTCGTCTCCTCCTTTCACTTCCTCCTCCCGGTCCTCCTGCTCCTCCTCCTGCTCACCCGCCACCATCTCCTCCTCCTCCTCCTCCTCCTCCTCCTCCTCCTTTTCCTCCTCCTCCTCGTCCCCGCCTCCTCCTTCTCCTCCTCCACCTCCTCCTCCTCCGCCTCCTCCTCCTCTCCTCCTCCTCGTCCTCCTCCTTTATGTAAATATACTGGCTCAAGCAATTCGGGCTCAAGCGGAGGGGCTCGCAAAAGCGCCGCAGCCGCGCCGCGCCACGCGGTCGTGTGCGGCCAGCATCTGGCGGTGCGATGGGACGCGGCGGGTGCGGCGGCCTTTCGGTGCAGCATGGCGCCTGGCTGTCACGGGCGCATCTTTCGGCGAGGCCGCCGAGGTCCTACTGCGCGTGCAGGCAGGGAGCATGGCGGCAGCGGGGGCGCCAGCTGCGGGAGCGGCGAGCGCAGCGACGGCAGCAGCCCCTGGCCGTTCGGCGCTCGGCGACCGCGCGCAGACGACGCTCGGAGCGGCAGCGGAGCTAGTGGCCATGCTCGAGTCCCCAACCTTGGCCGCTGGGTCCGGAGAGTCTCGCACCCGAGAGTGGAAGATTCAGTCGGCTCTCGAGGGGAGCTGCAGGACGCTCGACGGGGTTGCGGCTTTCCTTCGCCATCCGCGCGGGGCGGAGGCTGTCGTCGCCAGTCAGCGGCGCTTGTTGGAGGATGGTGCCGTGCCCAAGGCAGGCCTGCAGGAAGATGACGAGGAGGTGCTCGGCAGCGACGGCAAGAACGAGGAGGCTGGCCCTAAACACCGCGTGGAGCTCGGCGCGCAGGTGGAGACCGTCGAGCTGGAGCCCAGGGAGGCCCAGGGCAAGCTCAAGCAGAAGTCCGCCTTGAGGGAGCTGCTGGGCGAGCAGGTACCGGAACTGCAGGCAGCCAGGAAAGAGCACAAGCAGCGCATAGCGGACACGTGCAGGGAGAAGAAGCAGTTGGTGCAACAGTTGAACCACCAGGGGCTGGAGCACCACGAGTCCAAGGCGGGGATTAAGCAGGTGAAGCACGAGGCACAAGATCTCGCGAACATGGTGGACGAGCAGCGGATGAAGTACGCGCAGCTTGAGAAGGCCACGGGCGAGCAGCACAAGATCGCCTCGCTCGCGGGGGTCCCCGCCTTCCCCGTCCTGCACATCGTCGGCCAGACCCAGTCGTGCAACGTCGAGCAGCAGCAGCGCGACGACGACGCCCAGGAGACCAACGGCCAACCGCTGAGCTCCGCGGAGGGCCAGGGCAGCCAGCGGAACGCCGACGAGGCGAAGGTGAGCATATTGAACGGCCAGGTGAGCTCCACCGACGAGTATACTCAGGTGGGCCTCGGCAGCCTGCAGAGCATCGTGAAGAACCAGGGCAGTTCCCAGCACGCCTACGCGAAGGAGAAGAGTAACGGCGACGCGCTGTCGGTCCATGCGCGGCGGGGGGCGCATATGCAAACCACAAGCGGTGCGCGCAGGGACGCGCGAGAAGCGGAAAAAAGAAACCATAGCTGAAGCAGGAGCAGCAGCAGGAAGCGGACGCAGGGACGTCTGGGTGGTTGACGATCCTCCGCGCGTTGACCATGGTCGTCATCATGGATCGCCGTCCGTGGATGGCCCGCTGGTGCCGTTCAGGGGCGGTCGCACTTCCTGTTCCACCCACGGCGGCGACGCGCGCTTGGCAACGCGCGCCATGGAGGGGCAGCAGGGCGCGCGGTCGGGGCCCAAAGAACGCGGACGAGGACCACCGCAGCCATCATCGAGGAGGTGGTGGGCACACTGCGGCCGCAGCAGGCATGTGGAGGCGCAGCTGCGGGCGGAGGCGAGGCGGGCCCTGCGCCCCCAGGAGGCGCGGTCCTCAGGGGGGCCGGAGGGCAGACCTCGAACCAGCGGGGCGAGGCCCCGAGGCGGAGGGCAGAGCGCCAGCGCGGCCCGCCCTCGAACCTGGCAGCAGTCTTAAGACTGTCGGGCCGCGGAGCGGCCAAGAGGACAGCCGTGGAGGCCGTCGGCCCAATGCCCGCGCGGGTCCCGTGCGCGCGGGCGTGCCGAGCCGCTCGGCACTCGCTTCTGTGCCTGGCCATCGGTGTTAATAAAACTGCTCCTTCTCCTGCTCCTCGTCCTCCTCCACCGCCTCCTCCTCCTCGTTCTCCTCCTCCTCCTCCTCCTCCTCCTCCTCCTCCTCCCCCCTCCTCCTCCTCCTCCTCCTCCTCCTCCTCCTCCTCCTCCTCCTCCTCCTCCTCCTCCTCCTCCTCCTCCTCCTCTGCATCCTTCTACACCATGGGCGCGCATCAGGAAACCGTTTGCTTTTCGTCGGGGTATCCTGGGTTTTTTCGCTCGCGCGCTGCGCGGTGACTTCCCGCAGCCGCATGAGAAACTGCCGCGTTCAGGCTGCTCCGGGATCCCCCCCGGGCGCACCTCGCGCGCGGCTTTCGGGCCGAGTTTCTTGCGGGTGTTTCTTGCGGCCGCGCCCGCATTGTTTGTGCGCGGCTCCCTTTCTCCGCTTGCGCGTAACACGACGGAATCCTTTCTCAGGAGTGCCAACTCGGCTATGACACGCGTCCGCGGATAGAAACAAACAGCGCATTTGAAAGGATGGGAGGGAGGGATAGGATGTCAGATGTGGCGCGAACGCGTCCAGCTTGCCCTCCCTTTCCCTTCCCCTCCTCGCCAGGGACACGAGGAGACAGAGAGAAACATCCGAGGGAGGGGCAGACGGGGAAGGAGGAGGAGGAGGAGGAGGAGGAGGAGGAGGAGGAGGAGGAGGGGAGAGGAGGAGGAGGAGGAGGAGGAGGAGGAGGAGGAGGAGGAGGAGGAGGAGGAGGAGGAGGAGGAGGAGGAGGAGGAGGAGGAGGAGGAGGAGGAGGAGGAGAGGAGGAGGAGGAGGAGGAGGAAGAGGAGGAGGAGGAGGAGGAGGAAGAGGAGGAGGAGGGCGGCGTGACAGACCTACGTTGCGCTGAGGCTGTGTCGACGAGGAGGAGGAGGAGAGGAGGAGGAGGAGGAGGAGGAGGAGGAGGAGGAGGAGGAGGAGGAGGAGGAGGAGGAGGAGGAGGAGGGGGAGGGGGAGGGGGAGGGGGGGAAACAGGGGAGGGTGAGGGAACGGGGAGGAGTGGGTGGAGGAGAGGAGGGAGGGAGGAGGGACAGTAGGGAGGGAGAGGAGAGGTGGGAAATGAGAGGTGGGAGGGGGGAGGGGGGAGGGGGGAGGAGGGAGGGGAGGATGGGAGGACGGGGTAAAGGAGAGAGGAGGGAGGCTCAGGAGGCTCTCGGGGGGTTTTCGCCTTCATTATTCTTTCCTTCTCCCACCCTCCAGTCTCCGGTCCTTCCCTCTCTCATCGCTTCTCCGTGGTCGCTCCTCCCTTCCCCATGTTCCCTTCTGCCTATCATCGTCTTGCTCCGTGCCTAGTTTCACGCGCCCCTCCCGTCACTCGTGACCCAGCGGGGGGAGGCGCGGGTCGTGTTCGACATTGGCGCCGTGTCGATTTGCACGCCGAACTACGTGTGAAGTTCTTGTTCGTGCGTGTGGCACGACGTAAACTATGGTCCGCGCGTGGATGGAGTGATCGAACATGGCACCAGTGAGTTCGCTGTTTCTCGCTTCTGCGACCACGTCTTTTTGAACCTGCGCATTTCCGTCGCCGCGTTTGGACAATGCTCAAAGGCGTATCTGCCAATGCCTAGGTGACCGGCGACACGGGGTGTTCTTTGATATTTTTGGATGTTCGTCGCAGTGTGTACTGCTTGCTTGTTGTCCCCCTCTCCTTTTATCTGCGTTTATATTTGTTGGCCTTCGGCCTATCCCACCACCGTGCCATGCTTGCGGGTTCGAGTTTTCATTGATGTTTCTTGGGATCTTTGCGGGGTGCTCTCGGGGTTTTTGGGGGGCAGTCTATTGGCCTCTTGGAAGCCTCCTGGAGGCCTCTTTGGGGGCCTCCTGGGGCCTCTTGGGTGCCTTTTTGGGCCTCTTGGGGCCTCCTGGAGACGACGCATCGGGGCAGGGGGCTCGAAATGCCTATTCGGGTGCCCATGTGCGCCCCCTTTTGGAGCCGTCTCTGGGGTCTGTTTGGCTGTCTTGGTCGCCTCGCGGGCCCTCTTCGGGTCCTTCGGGTTGTCTTGGGTGCCGTCTTGGGGCGTTGTCTTGTGCCTCCAGGGCCGCTTTGGAACGTCAGAATGCCCAATGAGGGAATAAGCAAACAACTCCCCCCAAAAAACCGTAGGACTATCAATGATCCTAGTTTTTTGGGACGCTTTTGGGAGGCTGCCTGGAGAGTCATTGCTAACGTTCCCTTCGCTAGCTTAAGCTGCCCTGCGTACTCCCTTCAACTACTGGTTGGCCGGGTTAGGGACGCCGGGGGGCTGAACTAACTCCGCAGCCACTATCCGTTCAGAGTTAAAAGCGCGCGCCCGGCCTCCCTCTCTCCCTCGGCCGGCCGGCGGACACATAGACGCACACTGACTTCAGCAGATCCGTTTGACGGACCCCAGCCATGGGCAGAGGTACGCTGTCGGTCCGCCGAGACCTCACGGCTTCCCTTGAACAGTATGTAAACGATGATCGTGAAAAAGAGCACCGTGATATGACTAACCTAAAGAAGCCATTCCATGATATAGCAATAGAGAGGTAATACGTGGTTATCAGCCGAAATCTCCTCCACTGGACCAGGAGGCACTGCCTCCTGGAGTGAAGAGCGATGTGTTCGGAACTCAAGAAGAAAGCCTGACAGTGTCAGGGGCCCTGTTTTTCGTTCTTCGCTAAACATCAGCGCCGACATCCCTGTGGCGATTGACGATTCCGACGGTGGCCGCGAACCAGGTCGTCCAGATACGCCCAGGGCGGGCAGAGATCTTGCCGACGATGAGGGCCAGTGGCGTGGATCGAGTCGGGACAGACGTTATCCCCCAACCAAGGATGACCAACCGCTGCGGACGAAGCAGCTGACGACACCGACACCGCTCCCGTCGTGGGGTTCTTACTCAGTGTTCCTCGCCCTGGGCGGTTCCCCCGGCATCCGCCCCGCGGTTTCCCCAGTGACGCTCCCTTAGCTTAGCGTTGCTGATATCATCTTAGCTTGGCTTACTTAGCTTGGCTTAGCTCACCTTAGCTTCATCTTAGCTTCGGTTAGCTCTAGCTTAGCTTAGTTTAGCTTAATCTAGTTTAGCTTAGCTCTGCTTTAGCTTAGCTTTAGCTTAGCTCCAGCCTAGTTACAGCTCAGCTGCAGCTTAGCTTTAAGTTTGCTTTAGCTTAGCGTTAGCTTAGCTTTAGCTTAGCTTTAGCTGAGCTTCAGCTTACCTTTAGCTTAACTTTCGCTTAGCTTTAGCTTCGCTTCAGCTTAGCTTTAGCTCTAGCTTAGCTCAAGCTTAACTTCAGCTTAGCTCTAGCTTAGCTATAGCTTAGCTTGGGCTTAGATGTAGCTTAGCTTCTGCTTAGCTTCAGCTTAGCTTTAGCTCAGCTTTAGCTTAGCTGTAGCTCAGCTTTAGCTTAGCTCTAGCTAAGTTTTAGCTTAGCTTTAGCTTAGCGTCAGCTTAGCTTTAGCCTACATTTACCTTTACTACTAACGTTGCTTTCCTAGGGGCTCCAACTCCTAGGCAGGGTCGCGCTGCGATAAGTTTTAAATTTCGTTTTATGCCAACCGCGACCCGGCTCGACAATCCAGGGGGGGGGTGCCCCGAGGCCAGTGGCCCAGGGGAATCGCCCATGTCTTCCGCCCATGATGGGCGCTCGCGTCCGTGGTTCGCATCGCCCAGGGACGGGCTTGCGCCGCGCGCGCCCGCGGCTGCAGCTTGGACAGGGGGGCGCTCGATCTTTCGGCGAGGCCCCCGCTGGCGGAGCGGGCCAATATTGGCGACGCATGCGAGGGCCCAGACGACCCCGCCCTAAGGGCCCGCCCTGGGGGCGGCGCCCATGACCGCGACATTTCGCCCGCCGACCAGACGGCGTCGTCGGGGCGCGCCGGGCAGTCCGCGACGGACGCCCCCCGGACATTAACGCTCCGGGCGCGGCCCCCGCGGGCGAGGGGCGTGGGGCCTGCGAGGCGAAGGCAGCCTCGCGTTGCACCGGGGGCGTCGTCGGCGTTGGCCCGCGCGGCCCGCTCTACTGCCTCGAGCTATCGCGTCGACGAGGTCCGTTTCAACCAAGGGCCGCGGGCAATGCAGGTGGGTCGCGTTCGGGGCTTGCTCCGAGAGCTGCTCGCAGCGCCGCCTGCTTTGCGCGCGCCCTGATTGCCAGCCACCCTCCGCGCGCGGTTGCCCCGACCTCCGTCGCTTCGAACGGGCGGGGTCCTAGGGGGGGCCGCGGAGGGGCTGTGATGGCAGAGCGAGATCGGGAGATGGCGCAGATGACGGGGCAGATCGCGGCAGCGGAACTCCAACAGAGGGCCGCTGCCCGGGCCCAGGCTGAAAACGATCGCACTGCCGCGGTCCGCGCCGTTGAGCAG